TTTCTGCTGAATCCGTCTAACAATGAAATAACTTAAAAGCTATTTTTTCATTTTATCATAATCATTTTTGTACTTTTGCATGTTATTGATCCAGATGATTATTCTTAGGAAAAATTAGTTCAATATACTTACGCTGCCTGGATAGGTTTTTTTTAAAAATATATAACTGAAATTATGTGCATCTTTAGCCGACTGATTTGCTCATCACATCCGTATAGGTAGTATACAGTAGTCGTTATGAGTGTAATATAGCATACTATTTTTTATTTCTTATAGTCAAGAATATGTTTTATTGGCTAGACTCTTTAGCGTTTTTATTGTAAAACAATCGTAAGCAAAATTGATTGTGTACAAATAGTAATTACCGATCAATATAAATCAATTAGGTATTTAGAATATACATAGTGTATGCTTGGAAATGATAACTGACATACATAATCATACTACAGCCAAGCTACCTATCGTTTTATTAGTTGATGGTAACTGTGATCTATTGAAAGTAAAAATAATCGCCAGTCACCTCCAAACAGTTATTGGGCGTTTGTCATTGATTTATCCGCTTAAGCTTGGCCGTCCATTTCTTGTTACGAGTAATTGCTTTTTCCGTTTTTCTTTTTTTCGTCTTTCTTTTTTTTCTCTAATAGGACCTAATCTGGAGCACCATATATATACGGTCTGCAATATCCCATTTCTGCAAAGCGCGTTCTACCGTCCCCCGAGAGATGACACTGTTTAGGTGAAAAAGAAGATCGTTTTCATTCGTTTCGGCGACGGAGCGCAAGAAAATTATTTGCAATTCCATACGTCGGTTTCCTTTTACCCTTCCCATTGGTCCAGAACAACAAATTCATTAAACTTTTCGTTCAGCAATACATTTTCAACAAAATATAAGAATTCAATGACGTTTATAATCGGTCTGCTTGAAATAGTAATATTTTATCATATTCTACCATCTCTCCTACTAATGTGTAGTTTTCACAAAAATAATAATAACAAATCATAATAATTTTTAGTACAGTCATACTGTTTTATCGCGAAGTCCTGCTGAAACAAGTTATCTGGATATTATTAAAAAAATATATTACCAGAAAGCATGCAAATCGATATTATCGTCTGCCGTCAATACAACATCTGCATTTGACTATTTATTCAACTTGAAATATCAATCGTTATTACGTTATTGTGTGTTTTTTTCGTTTGGGTGAATAATAAAATATGCAAACATAAATGTATAATATTGCCATTCGCTTTATAATAACGATAAAATATAATATTATTATTGAATTAGGGTAACGATAAAAACCGTAAGACATAGGCAAAATGGTTTATACCTAGTATGTTATAATAAAAATGAATTCATACACAATCGTTGATTTAGTCATAAAATATTAATTTGTTTTCTAAAAATTATTTATAATATTATTATAGAATGTATAAACATTATTTATTTATCCGGTGTTTTTTTTTTCTAGTAACTGGTAAAAAAAGCTGGTAAGAAATGATTAAGGATAGTGTTTTGAAGATATTTATTAATTATATAACTAGAAAACAAAGAATGGCCAATTTTGAACACTTTTCCATTTCCTTTTAAACTCTAATGAAAGCATAAAGAAACTTCATAGGGCGTTTAAAATGGATATGTGTTGTATCAGAACGGACCCATCGATCTTACATAACGTTATGGTGTCTCGGTTATAGATAAGTCTTATTATCCACCGAAAGTAAGGTTTAAAGTAATGCTTTGTTATCTGCTGCTCAGGTGGAACACGATCCTCTCAATTTCGGTGGGATTAAGCGAGAAATCTATGTTTTGTTAAAATAAATTCAATTTTATGGTTTCAAACAAATTGTTTTAGATCAAAACTATAAATTAACAAACAATTAAGCATGTATAGTACAACACGTTTTATTTTCAAACATTATTATTAATGTCAGAACAGTTTTTAATTATTTTCAATCTGGTTTAACACATAATAAATACCTATTTAAGCGTATTACATTGTATTTTATGCAATATAGCGTGTTTTCCGTTGAGGCTACGTCTATGGTTAAGCACAATACAGTATTTTACAAAATTAGTAATATTATCAACATACGTCTCACCAAGTCTGACTGTCGAATATAATCTTCAAATTATAACAATAAGTGAAATGGGTTTTATAAACCATATTTGTCATTTTAATACATGCATTATTTCTATGTAGATTAGGGTAACATTTTGTAATAACCATGCAAAATATTGCTGATGAATGCGTTAATTATGCATATTCCGGTGTAGTTGTAGGTAATGTCCGTTTTTGAATATTAACATTTCATTTGAATTTCAAACGAAATTTCGCTTTTATTACAATAAAACATAATCTGTAATAGGTTGATAAATTATTTATTTTAGATTGAATTTAATTAATATTACAGAACTAACGTTCATTTTTTATACTTAAAAAAAGAGATGTCTTTAATTCCCATTTAATAATTTTTTTTTTTTTTTAGTTAAGTAAGCACTTCCGTTTTCTAATTACTTCTGCTTTAACAACTTTATAAAGATTTATATTTTTTAATGACGTAAAAAAAGTTGAAATATTTTCAATAATAATTTTTTGATGGAATGAAAAAAGAACCTTATTGATCGATAAAACAAATACATATTTTATACATTTATAAACATATATACTTGTGTTTACATTTGTATTTATTATTATTCTTGCCGTCTATGTTTCAGTTTATCGTCTTACTTCCTATTCTCGCAGACATTTGTTCCGGAACTCAAAGATTTATGATAACGAAGTATCTTTGTTTATAGAGCTTCCTTCTCATTTCTCTCTCTCTCTTTTCTTAAAAACTTTTTCGGTATTATTTTTAGTCGCTTTACTCGTCCATTAGGTTGATTTCTTTGTAAAGTTTACCAACAACTTAAGCCTCACGCCATTTTTTGTTAAATCTATTTATATTATTTATTTTATAATGTTCGGTATTCAGGTTAACATTCCGTCATTAAAATTATAAATTAAATCTACAAGACAATTATATTGTATTAACAGAGCTCAGGTAATTGTAAAGCTTATCCACTAAAATTTGCAAAGTGATTAATTACCAAATCAATAAGATTGGTCTTGTTATATATTTCTTATGTTTATATTATATTTTAACTCTTTTCCTTACGTTGCGTTGGCCTAACCAGTCACATGCATACATTTAAAAAATCATTCTGTGTCCATTAACAGCTGCAGATGTGTTTTTTCACTTCTAATACCCATTCGGTCCCATGGACTCTTGTCACGATTTCGGGTTCAAAGGAAATGAAAAATGTTCTTTTCGCAACGTTTGCCCTATCAGATACCTTTTGACCCACTTCTACTATCTGTACAAACTTTTTCTTACTGCTAGGTTCTGCATGTTCTTGTGTCAACGAACGAGATTGATTTATTACGCACAAACTCTGATAGAAGGTATGTAAATATAAACAAAATTGTGATTGTATGAAAAACCTATTAAACTTTTTACGCATTGGTAGGTTGTAATATAAACACGAGTTAATTTTATTTTCATTAACAAAGTTTAACAAATCAATTTTCTATTTTTATAACTCAATATTATCCAGGTTAAATAATATTTGGAATGAGTAGAATACGAGGGTGGCTAATGAATTATCTAATAAATTATCTCATGTTACATTATCTTCTCTCTAAGAATACAAAATAATGTTAACCTCATGGTTTAGAACAAAATTAAGTACTCATTAAATTGATAAATAGTTTATATTAAATATTTTTATGCTTTACTGGAAATTTATTGTATTTTATTTTTAAACAATAATGAAAATTAATATTATCATAATCGTATAATTTTTTTAGCTATTATTTTATTTAAGTGAAAAAAGATACTATAAATACTAAATATTTGTATTTAGTGTTACTCAACAGAGAGTAATACAACGCATTACAATATTTTGTAAAGTAGAATCATTTTGTTAAATTTTAAGTGGGATGATTCCACCTAAGCTGATGAAAATAATTACGTTTTGGATAATTACGATGTTAATGTACCAAACGTAGATTAAAATAGGAAATCATTTTAAATTAGTTCTAAAATAATTAATAATCATAAAAGAGTGAATAAAATAACTTTTAAAACAACTTGTTTTTAGACAACGCTTAGTTTTAATATTAAAACAACATTTAGTAGATGATAAAATAAATCAAATTATATTCTCGAAACAGTATTGCATGCACAACCTGACATTTATCGTAGTAACTTTTTTTTTAAATAATTAAACTGGAATAGTCTAAATGTTGGCTCCACGCTCGTGAAATAATTAAAAATGTACCGCTCCAAATTAAACACACTCCCGTTTAATGACGGGATAACTTGTAAAACAGTTATGCGGGCTGTGTTCAAAAAGGATATTCTATTTCTTTAGTGTCATCATAAACAGTATCCTGTACTTTGTGCCTGTAAATAAATCAATAACGCCGAATCCTATTTCGACATTATCCGCATCGCCTCGTCACCACAGACACGCGGCGCTGATAAAATTGGAGAAATTTTATTTCAGCCATCCGCGACCATTTCACTCGTCACTTGCTGCTCGGCGATACCGTCTCGGCGGTAACCCACTTTACGCACTCGGATTTCGAGAAGCATTTATTGTTGTGGATTACGTGCGCCCCTTTCCACCTGAACGTCACATCCGTCCTGTTAAGAACGTGCGGATGCGGTGGGAAAAACAGCTAAAAGAGCTCAACGAGAAACAAACGTCTTCGCCCACCCCCTCGTCTCTCCGTCGCCACAACCGACACTTTACCGGGGAAAGACTCTCCTCCCCTTCTCCCACCTTAATGCACACAGCACGTACACGAACGCCTTCCAGATTTACACTCGCCTTGGTTAACTGTAAATCAATGATGTATGTGTGTGTGCGTGTGTGTGTTCGTTTATCTCTCGACTATCACTATTATCACCGCCGCATAGTAATATACTAACGCGGCTCTTGTCGATTTCAGGTTTTCTCAATCTCAATTCTAATCAGCATCTCAAATCGCCGTCCAACTACGGGCTAATGGACCAAATAGCAGCTCTACACTGGATACAGGAGAACATTGCCGTGTTCGGCGGCGACCCGACGAATGTCACATTGATGGGACACGGCACCGGAGCTGCGTGCGTTGGATTCCTAATGGCTTCGTCGGCTGTACCGGACGGTGAGCATTGTTTGTTTATAATTCACTAATTGTAGAAAACATTAGTAAGCGTAGTCTTAACGCGGATTGTGTAAAATAAAATTCTATTCAGTTGAAATAGCTGGGCAATATTAAAAGGAAGAAGAAAGACAATTAAATAAAGGCATGTGGAACTGGATAGACAAACGATGACGGGCAGAATAGAGCTAGAGTGCCAAAGTTTTGCTCGATAATAACTTGACTTTACTCGTTCGCCGAATAATGTACACATACGCATGTATACAGTTATGAAAAAAAATGTCAATAACGCAACGCCTGTGTTCCAAAATTAAAAAGAAAGATTAAACTAAAATACAGAGAATATGTGCATAATATTACGGTCGCACTCGTACAACTCAAAGGAACTTATACATACGTTATGTATTCACTTAGGTAATTCGCAATACAGTTGTTTTCCAAAAAACGTCGATAAATATTATTTGTTGGACGTCAAAAAATTGAGAATAGCGTCATGTTTTCATAATGTATTAAAAATGTAATTTTATTCAAACGTTTTTGTGAAAGTGCCTGACGGAAAAGGGCGATCGCTACCGAATCGGTTTAACATCGTTCGAATCCATCAAGTCGAAAAAAAGTTTTTATCGCGGTCTCTTTAGAAATCCGACGGAAACCGATTAAATACAGTTGCAATCACCGGCCAGGGATCTGGTTTTTGAAATTCGCGGCCTACAGCGGTATCGCAGTGATGTATGACTTGTAGGTCGGATTGCAACGTTTGCCATTTTCGTTTGTTCACGACAACGACACGGGTAGTGTAAGGGGTTTGTGGAACAACTAAAAAGCACAATCATTGAGTCGCGAACGGCACACCGATACACTCACTAACAATAATTAATTTTTTTCGACCAAAAGCTGCGAGAACGCTTTTATCGGGTCGTTTATTACCACAACCCCCCCCCCCCCCCCCATCTCTCTCTTTCACGGCAGACTCGCTATTCGCCACTAGATTTTGCGGAATAAACTCCTATAAAGACATAAAGGTTTTAGCCTTTCTCGGGCCAAGACGGTGTGATATGAATTCGTAAGCAGAGCCTGAGTACATATAGGGTCGATCCAGTCCAACCGACCGTAAAATGCCGGCATAGATTTATTGTCGGCGGCGGCGGCGGCGGCCTAACCATGTCGTTCTCTTTTGTTTTCCTTAGAATTCTTCCTGTTCTTATACATTTTTTTTTTTTTCCACTTCATTGTTTTTGCTGAATGCGAGTACCTAAAATCAATTCCCCTCGGCTCGCATTGACCGATACACAACATTTCTGTTTTAAACAATTATTATTTTGCCTTTGATTTTTAAAATTATTGTGTTTTTAGCTATCCACTTTCCGAAATAGCCCAACGACACATTTTCTTTTTTCAGTTCTTCTGTATTTATTAAAATGGGTTTTTACAAAAAAAAATGTTTGTAATAGGGTTGGTAATAAATCACCAACGATAATATAGATTTTTTTTTTCTATTAAATTGTTGTACCGTTAATAATCAAATCGTTATAATTTAATGAATGGATTGGGTTGTTAAAAATTGCCTTGATACGTGTACTGACATGAAAACGAATAATCTTAAATTACATTTTGTATTTTATTGTTTTAATCATTTTTAATCCCATTTTTGTATATTGAACCGCATGTTTTTTTAGCATTGAGAAAGTTAAAAAAATTAATTCGCTAGTGAAATTTGTAAAAATTATTTTAACTATCCAACACGGAATTGAAATGAGAATACTAAAATTTGATTACGAAAAATCAAACCCATTTTTGTGGTTATTATTTTATAAGTATAAATGTTGAGCTTGAATATTTCCGACAATAATTAAGGGCACAACTAATCGGATATCATGACTACACTGCATCACTACAGTAGTAGCCGATGTGCTTTTGTGACAATAGATTTGAAATTAACTGGCGCTATTGACATCTATGTAAGTGTAACGCAAATTTAACTTGACAACGTCAAGTTGACATACGGTTTATCATCGAATTGGCCGTTAATGAGCTTTTGTAATTGTTTTGCCGGTCAGTCGACAGATCGGATCTAATTGAACAGACGGCCGGCGTTTAGGGGTTGTTTATTTTGTACGAAATTGATTTGTGAGCTACAATCGCCGCCGTCACCTTCAAGACCGCCGCGACACCTTATAAAACAGCTCTCATTTGACGGTCAAGTCGCTTAACTGTCAGCACTTAAACCGATGATACGTGCTGCGCCCGACCTTTTTATCGCGGCAGTTCTTGGCCTAAAATACACCAGCGAGACCGAAAGCACGTACTGTATAAGTAACAAGACGTAATTTAATATCGCCAGACAGGATATAGGTTGACAGGAGAATCATTTTTAGATTATAAAAGCATCTTGTAGTACCCGTCGGTGGTCAGTGTACGGATTAGTACAGTGGGGTTGGAGCATAGTGAGGACGGATCATATTGGAAGGGGAGGTCACGGGTCTGCAGGAATTATTACAACTGAAAATAATTAAATCACTTTCAAATAAGCGCTTTGATACGAATCAATCGTATCGTATCAATCATCAAGATCGTAATTGCTTTATCTTCGTTCAATCTAATTTTCAGACCTTAAGTCTTAAAACTCTACTTGAAAAATATAAATAAAGAAAAAGTTTACACTCCTTCTAGGGGTTATTTGGTTTGTCTACGTTTATCTTAAGAACCTTCCATATAAATTTAGAATTGATTTCACTATTTTTTAAATAGTTTGAATACGCAGTAATTTTAAGTTGAAGTACATGAAACAATTTTCAGGTTTTTTTTTACTCGGTAGGGGAAGGGGTGAACTTTTTTAGAAGAAATCGGTTCAGCGACTTAGAAGTCATGACACAAAAATTAAAACACATAATTTCTAAAACAATACCTTCTCAGCAATGCATCGAAGCCAAAAACTAATAAACAGCGGATTTAAATTTAAACTTACTCTCACTTCAATTTCCTTTTGCTCATCGTATACTTGGGATTCTATTAAAACGCATCAAATGGGTCTTTAAAGACCGGGGTTCCGGTTTACAAAAAAAAAATGTAATGTATTAACATACGAGTGCGGTCAGAAAAAATAATAAATAAAAGAATTGAACCATACATGACTGTGCTTTAATCCTTAAACAAGCGGTCGGTGGGTAGCGTGCATTAAAAAAAAACAATCTGAAAAAAATTCTAATATCCGCAGTCATCAGCGTTGATTTATAATTAAACCTTAAACGAGAACCTCTGTAAAATAAAATAAAAAATGGTCCGACGTAATCGCTTAATTCCTTTCATACTCGGCATGATGAAGAGATTTTAATTTTATTGGAGTTTTTACTTGATGCTTGTAATTTTTAAAACATCAAGTAGAAAATTATACTTAGTCAATAAGTACAGTCGTTATGCGGGGTGTAACTGATTTTTAAGCGAGGGTTCGGAAAAAAATACCATTTTACTCGAAAACTAAAAAAATATTTTTTTCCCCCGAAATTAAATGTTTTTCATATTTAGACAATCGTTTCACACAACAGATAGAATTATTCTCTGTAGAACAAGCAGATATCATTTAGTAATGAAATAAAATGCAAATTTGGTCCGGAACTATATTCGGATCCTTGTTTTTAAATACATTCTTTTTATATACACTAATATATCAAAACATATTACAACGAAATCTGAAATTTGATATTATTTTCGATAATAATGACATTACGAGTGTCTTGTAAATAATAAATAAAACATCAGACATTTTTTTACATCACAGAGTAGACGTGTGGATAGTAGATACAATTATCTATCTAAATTTTAGATATATTTGTTGTAACTATAAACACGTACCATTTATAACTATAAAAATGTTTTTAAAAAAAATTAAGTTAATTTAATTTTTAGTTATTTATTTTTATCTGTACCAAAATATCTTGTTAAAACACCTCAGACACCGTGGCGCTCAACATCTCGAGAGTCTAATTGAAAAAAAACACTTTACTTCGTCATATTATGTAAATTCGGATGAAAATTATTTCGTTTTGGTTAAAACGATTTTATTCATTTGTTTAGCGCTATACTTACACGCGGTTTTGTTTAATTTGTAGCACATAGTACATTTTGGAGTGTATATTGTATAAGAAACACGGGTAATTATTTTGCTAGCGTGTCGGGACTTAAAGGGAAATGAAAATAAATTAGAAAATCCGGTACCAGAAAAACACCACATGACTCAGCTTCTTAGTGAATCAAAAGTTAACCGCAAACATACATTGTCTCTTGCGGCGGACGGCGGCCGTTTAATAGCAACTTTTGCGCCATTAATCTCGACGTGGACTATTTTGTAACGGCATCGACCCAGATTAGCATACATGTCTTAACATCCTGAGTCATTATATTCATTTAAGTTGTTGCTAAGACTGAGCAGCGAAGAAAGAACAATAGAAGACGGCCGGTCGCTCAAAAGTCTTTTGAAAGATGACAATGTAATATAAACTTAATGTTATGTGTGTGGTAAAACGTTCAAAGTTCGGCCACCCATTGTGCGCACACTACACTTATGTGATAACACAAAATGTTTCGCTTTACAAAACAGCTATAGAAACCCGAAAAAATTGCAAATAATCTAAAGATAGAATAGCCGCTATAATTAGAATGGCAATCCCTAAATGATTATTGTTCTACGATTGGTGATTGTAGGTTTTCCACGTCGAAAAAAATTCACCGCGGTTCTGAGTGATTTATAACCGAGAAAAATAATCGTTTTCTTCTATTCGATCGGATAATTAACGCAATAGGAATTCCATTAATTAAGATTTATAACAAAGAATGAAAAAAAGGAGGGGAAACAAAAACCTTGTAAAGGTGGACAACTTGTCATTGTTTAATTAATTAAAAGAAAACAGCGAGCCGGAATGCGACTGACGATTTTCAATGTAGAATTCCTAAGTAATAATAAATGAATGTATACATTAAAACGTTTAATCGAGATGCTTTTCGAATAT